CTGCCTGCCCTACGCCCCGCCCGACGGCCAGCCCGCCGCCCTGGGCCTCGCGGTGGCCCTGGTCCTGCTGAACTCCTTCTGCTTCCTGGTGGTGGCCGGTGCCTACATCAGGCTCTACTGCGACCTGCCGCGCGGCGACTTCGAGGCTGTGTGGGACTGCGCCATGGTGAAGCATGTGGCCTGGCTCATCGTCGCCGATGGGCTCCTCTACTGCCCCGTGGCCTTCCTCAGCTTCGCCTCCATGCTGAGCCTCTTCCCGGTCACCCCTGAGGCACTCAAGTCGGTCCTGCTCGTGGTGTTGCCCCTGCCTGCCTGCCTGAACCCCCTGCTGTACTTGCTCTTCAACCCCCACTTCCGGGATGACCTTCGGAGGCTCTGTCCCTGGGCAGGGACCCCGGGACCCCTAGCCTACGCGCCGGCCAGTGAGCTGGAGAAGAGCTCCTGCGACTCCACCCAGGCTCTGGTGGCCTTCTCTGATGTGGATCTCATTCTGGAAGCTTCTGAGGCTGGGCGGCCCCCGGGGCTGGAGACCTATGGCTTCCCCTCAGTGACCCTCATCTCCTATCAGCAGCCAGTGGCCCCCAGGTTAGAGGGGAGCCATTTTGCAGAGCCAGAGGGAGCCCAGTTTGGGACCCCACAGCCCTGCCCAGATGGAGAACTGCTGCGGAGAGCAGAGGGAGCCTCAGGAGGGGACCCCTCCGTGAGTGGGGTCTTCCGGCCTTCTGGCTCAGTTTTTGCCCCACACTTATAAATGTCCCTCCCCTCTCTTCTCTATCACTTCCCTTCCCTCTTCCCACTTCGTGAATGATGGCTGCTTATGAAATAAATATGTACAACCAAAATTCAACAGTGTGACCCACAGCAGGCTGCGCCAGGTCCTGGCTTCTTTCTCCCATGGTCATGACCTTGAGTGTTCTTTGGCCTACTTTCTCCTTGGCCTTCCTCAGTTTCATCTTCATTGCTGGCCTCTTCCCTGTCCTGTCCAAAGCTGTGGAGGAGAGACCTAAATCTTCGCTTAAGGGAAGTGAGGGAAGTAGAAGTGAAGGGAGTAGGAGTCAGGATAGGATCAGGATCAGGGCACAGTGGATAGGGAGAACTCAGAGATCTGGAAGGGAACCAACCACCAAAGGCATTTGGGTCTCTGTCCTGTAACTCATAGAAGGGATACCAAAAGTATTCTGTGTTCCATTAGTCTTGATACATGTCATGCAAAAATACTTGCTATAAAATAAGCTTTGGAAGAGATGACACATTATGACCCTTTCTTAGAGATCCCCAGGGTATGACAGAATAGTCAAGGCCCTGGAAATTCCTCCAACAGTAAAATCTATTGAACTTTGTTTAATCCAGTTGGTTCCCCCAAACTATTTGACAACAGGTTTTTGTCTGGTTCTTGGTCTTTGTGAAATGCCCATTAATATCTCAGGAAACCTAGCACTGTGCTCTCCCAGGAGGTTCATAGCTGGATCACACAGTGCTTCCCAGGGATATCACAAGATGCTACCATTCCTTGAAAGCCCATACCCTAGGAAATCTACCTGGGATGAAATGTCAGGGGCGAGTAGTATTCCACCAGCCAGGACAGATTCTCCACACTCTATCTTCCACCCTGCTTATTTTACCAGGGTGGGAAGGAGCCAGGCCCAAGGCCCTGAGGTGGAACAGGGAGAAAGGGTGTCCCTTGGGTGTGCTCCCACTCCCTACGTACCTGACCACCAATGACATTTACTCCAGCACCAGGAAAGAGTCCTGGATCCTGGCAATGTACACGAGGAAGTGTGTGGCTGTCTGTCTGGGTTCCCTCGAGCTGTGTTGCCTTCTTATGGTTCTCTATCATATATGCCCCCACCACTTCCTCCCACTGGACTGGTCCTCCTTTTTCAGCCCAGATCCTGCCAAAGAGAAAGGATAATTTTACTGGAAGCATTACATTTTAGGAAGTATTGATATCTGGGACTCCTGGGTGCCCCCAAACAAGCCACTGACCCTTCTGCCTGTCCCCTCATGACCTTCCTACCTTATGTCTTACCAAACCTTAGGGTTTCTTCAGAGTGCTCCACCCCATCCCAAATATGCCTTCAATCTCAGCTAGGTCACTCTTGCAGACACAAAGGGTGATTCTTGCTGACATAAAAAGAGAATCCAGGGATGGGAGTGTAGCTTAGTGGTAGAATGTTCTAGCATGCACAAAGCCTTGGGTCTGATCCCCTGAATCCTGTCATGGTCCTCAGCTGAGTCCTACTGTAAAGGGTTCCATCATTAAGATATCCCTGAGAAAGCCCTTCTCCTACTTTCAAAATTCAAGTTATTGTAACTTGGTTTCTCTGTTATCTCCCTGCTATTCCCCGTGCCCAGTGGAATCTCTGACACAAGTCAACAAGGCTGCCCAGGCTGGGATGGAGGGACAAGGCAAGAGACATTCGTGGAAACTGACATCTCTAAATCAAATTTGACTAGTTGAGTTACCTGGACTCTTACAGGCTCTGAACCTCAGGTGCTGACCTTATAACTCCTTAGGGTCCCCTAGCATGGGTGAACTTCAGTTGGCGCTCACTAAATGATGCCGCATTTATTTATCACTTGTTTGAGGATCTCTTGTCTCCTTATTTGCAAAGGGCTGATCAAGGCTTAGGCCTCAATGGAGGAAGTTACTTTGGGTACTAAGAATTGATAATTCTTATCAAGGAAAGGCATTCTCTGAGGTATCCTAGGGCTGACAAAATCGGTGTGATTTTGGGGAGGCTTGACTTCTAGGAAGTTACTGAAGACCCCCACCCCGAACCCACCTTGTGATCACTGTTCCCCTTGGGTTTGGGGAGCCAGGCTGGAGGTGGGATGGAGAGGCCATGTGTTGGAGGTGTAGTTTTAGAAGCTTTTCCCTACAGGTGCCCTCTTCTATGAAAAAGTGGCCATGCTTCTTGGCTTTGAGCTATAGGGTGGCACTGCTGTCACCTTCTGTCTACTTCTAAAGACGTGGGCATCTGATGATGTGGAACTTTGTGCTCACAAGAGAGGTGTGGGAGAAGGGAGTGAAGGCATTTTCCATAAACTTCATTGTTCAAAAAGTCTAGCTGATATTGTACATTTACCCCAAATAAGACTGTTCCATTGTTTATTTTTTGTTTTTGACTGAATTTCTAGAAAGTCAGTATGTTACACCTGTGGTTATCTCCTTTGTGATAAGCAGCAAATCATGAAAATTATATATGTCTTTGATTAATCACAAAAATCAAAAGCCAAGTTGCTCAATGCCCATAAATTCATTTTGTCTGGTTGACAAAATCTACCAAAATGGTGTCCATGGGAAAGGGTCCACCCAAGCGGGCGATGGTGATGGAAATTTTGGCCATACCTGACCTGTTATGTGCTGCCCTAGGCTCCATGTGTTGTGCCTTGGCCACTGGTGCCAATCCGTGTCCTCTCAGACTGATTTGTCAAGGGCGACTTCTTATGGTAGGCCATAGTTTGCTAAACACCTCTGCACACACTGAAAGGAAACCCCCAAGAATCTAGAGCTAAAATGGGAAGACTATGGACTAAACAGATTTAACAGCTGGGCCTTCTCCCTGCCTTCTTTTCCCAACTTCACAGTTTCTTTCTCTGGAAGAATAAAGTCTTAATGGATAAAGGAGAGGAAGAAGGAAGTGCTGACAACAGTTCTGAGTAGGCAAGGATGGTGGGAGGTAACCAAAGCCCTGGTCCCTTCTGGCACCATCCCCTCTAACTACCTCCGCTCTGGTTTAGCAAGTTCTCCCAGCCTTTGTTCACCACTCCTGTGTCCCTTCTGGGTTCCAGTCCATGCCCTCTCCAGTTGTATGAAATATAAGAATTGTCAAGATGTAAATATTTGGGCTCTTCTGTATAATAAAGCACCACTGAAGTAGCATACGTGTTCCTCACCTCCTTTCGGCTGTGACCTCTGTGACCAGGGGTGTTGAGGAGTAAGAAGATGGTCAAAGCTCTCCCTTAACCCATCTTCTGAGTTCTGGGGCAGCTGGGGCACAGTTCTGAAGGGTCAGAGTCGAACACTGGAGGCATCAGAATCGATTTCACAACTCATATTGAAGTATTTGTATGCTGTCACTGGGCCGGAGAGAATGATCTAAAGAAAGCAGTGAGCAAGTTGGGCTTTCTATTCTCAGACCCTGTATACCTTGTCAGACAGACCCAAACCTATTGCTGGGATTTCCTGATACTGTGAACCCCAAAGAGCCCTTCTTGGGTGAACTTCCTCACCCACTCTCTGCCTGGAAATCCTCCCTCCCAAACTTTGCTTCAAAATGGGATGATACCCACAAGACAAAAAGGGCCCCTTCTCCACAGAAAGGAAAGGAAAGAGTCTGAGATCAACAAACATTTGCAATCATAGGAATGAGATGCTACCCCAAGAATGGCACCTTGTTCTTCTTTCTCCCCTATTCCTTTCCGTAAAAAAAAAAATCTCTTTCTCCTCTTTATTCTTTCATTTAAAGTTTTTACTTTATTTTTTAAACTGATGTATAAATCTAACTCCCTTCTAAGAGGACAAACAGTGCCTTTGGAAACACCTGTCCTCCACCGTTCTTGAAGACAGCATTCTACCTCGCTCAGCTGAAGAGAAGGCTGTTCACTTGGCTGTTCTTGTCAAATTGGGCCAGGGCTTAACTCCAGTAAGCACATAATTGTTAAGAGGATCCATGTGAAGAAATAAGGCAGGGCAGAATCCAAGCAAAACCAAGACTAGAAAGAGCGGTGAGGCTAGGCCTTGCACCAGAAGCCAAGGGCTCTTCTGGCTTTGACTCAGCGCTGAGTTTCAGGCAGTGGCAGACTACACATCACTACCTGATGTCCACTGTGCACAGGCTCAGCTGCTCTCTTAATGCCTGTTCGATTCTATCTGCCTCTAAACCACAATCAACTGCTTTTTGTTTAAAAAAAAAAAAAGAAAAACGTCAGGGCTGGGGATTTAGCTCAGTGGTTCTGCGGCCTGCCTCGCAAGCACAATGGACCTGAGTTCAATCCCCGGTACCAAAACAAAAACTCTAATTTTAAATAAAGTTTAATTTAAAATTTTAAACCTATGTTTTTAACAGTCTCTCTCCATCTCTGTCTCTATTTGCTCACTTTTCAAACCTTTGCTGGTTATCACTGTTAATTGCTTTTAGCTTTTTTTACATTTACTTCGACTGGTTTTGGGTTTTTGTTGTTGTTGTGGTTGTTAGCCAGGCATGATGATACCTATCTGTAAACCCAGCACTTGGGAAGCTGAGGCAGAAAGATCACAAGTTTGAGGCCATCTTGAGCTATATAGAAAGATCCTCTCTCAAGGGGAGGGGGAAGCGAAGAAACCAGAGTTTTAAAATATGCATATATAAGCAAGAAACATATATGTGCTTATTTTTCCTTTTTTACTGATAGCATACTATAATTCTGCTGCTTCTGCATTTTTACTTATTAATTAGTTCAAAGACCTTTCCACATCAGTAAAGAAAGTGTTCTCATTTTTATAGCGGCATGCACTGCTTTATGTAGATACATCGTATGTACATGTGTACATGGAAATTTGGCTTGCTTCATATTTTGCTCTTGCAAATGGTACTGCAACAAGTCGGCACGAATGTGCGTCATTCCCCACTGTGAGGTTGCTGAATAAGTTCAAGTATTAATTATATCTTTCCTTAACTTCATTTTTTTCCACCCATAGTTTATTCATAGTTCCTGCCTATATGTGCCTCACTGATACCTATTCTTGCTCAAGGCCTTTCTGCATCTTTTCATCATCCACTCCTGGATTCATTGGCTTGGTTTTGTTGTTGTTGTTGTGTTTTTTGGGGGGTATTTCCTGGGGCAATGTTTTGCGGGATGGGGAAACTGACCGGCTAATTTCTCTTTCTGCACTAGGCCAAATCAAAGCACAATGGCCAAATAATGGGTTCACTGCTGTTAGGCCTGTACCTGTCCTGGCCCATTAAATTGTAGGGTGGAAATGGGTGTTTGTGTGGCACCATATTGGATGGCTCAGGGTTTCCACCTGAGCAAGGGCTGTGAGCAGCCCTTCAAAATGGGTGTAGTCCTGGCTGGCAGGAAGGGTCCACAAGGGCAGGTGCCAGGTGGGCCTAATCATTCATTATTATAACCTCAATCCTCTCCACAGGGCCTAACAGAAAATGCTCACTGAATTTCTGTTCGAAAATGTAAGGACTTAACAAAACCACGAATATTCTTAAAGATTATTTCCCAACAAAGGGGCCGTGTGACCAGGAGATGCAAACAACACAGAACAGCAGGTAAGATTTTGTCTGAGCTCAACCATTTGTAGCCTTGTGAACCATCCCTCTGACCCTGTGTCCATCAGGTTGATATTATGCCCTTTGGGTACGTTCGCTCTTTTTGTAGGAGGGTAGTCAGGACAGATATTTAGATGTGTAATTTAAAGAGCCCTCAAGTTTTCTGACCCCCTTTACAACAGCTCTTGCTCTGGTTAGACATAACCATTTTTGTTTTAGCTTGACCAGGCAATACTTCATTTTTCCTAATAACATCAACCTGACTTTCCTTCAAGCACGTGCGTGTGCGTGCACACACACACACACACACACACACACACACACACAAAATGCCGTGTACTGCGTATGGTTCAGATGGGGTTACTCCATTCCGGGTTCCATAGGTCGGAATATGACCTAGGCCTTCTCAGCTTTTGTTATAATCTGGCCACAGTGACTGGTCCAAGGATAGGCTCAGATCCCATGTTCACCTAAGGAGACCCCAAAAGGGAACTTTGGTGGAGCTGATAAGAAGGAAGCACTCAGCCAATAGCGCCAGCACTCTGAGAGACTAAGGCAGAAGGATCATAAGTTTGAGCCCAACCTGGGTAATTGAGCATTTTAATGGGACCCTATCTCAACATTATAAAACTAAAAAGAATTAGGGGTTGTGGTTAAGTGTGAAGGCCATGAGCTTTATCTGTTTATCTCCAGTATCATTGTTTTTTAAAAAAGTACTCTCACCAGAGCTGCTGGACTGGTAGGTTGTACACTGCTGGTGTCTATCTTGCCATCAGGGAGAAATGGATCCAGATGACATTATTTGAGCATTTGCACCTGGTCATGCCTTTTAGCCTTCTCAAGGTGTGAACTAGTGATGCTTATTTGCAGAACCGTTAGATTTCTGTCCCTTGTATGGAAAAGAAGTCTTCTTTCACAAGACCTTCTCTATGTCATCCCCTACCCAGGAGGAGCAGGAGTGAACCCATTATCCTCTTATCAACTGTTAGGGTGGAAAAGGGCAGCTACTGAATGGGAACTTTGATGAGCAAGATTGTCAGGATTGGCAGAACAGGCTCAGGTGTGGCTGGGAGGACTGGGGGGGAGGGTAACCAGGACCCAGGGCAACCTACAGCCAGAAAATGCTGAAGCAGGGGGAGAGTGGGAAGGGAAGGGAAGAGATGGAATAAACAGGCCCTGCCTTTTGTTTGGCTTATGCAGATTGCTTTAGAATTGTGGAACTGCCAAGTGTCAGCCAACTGGGTGAAGACTGAGAGCACCCAAGCCACAGCCTCACTTTATAAAGGCGGAAACCAAAAGAGGAACTTGTCTACTCTGGGGAGACAGATGTACAAATATTAGGATAGAATCTATACAATTGATAAACGTGATTCAGGAGTAAGGTGGGCCTGGGTTTGAATCCCAGATTTGCCATTCACAGCCAGCTGTCCTTGGTTTTATTTCTCTTGAATCTTAGTATAACCATCAGTAAAATGGGAATAATAATATCGCCCAAACTCTGAAGGTTACTGGAGTTTTCAAGGAAAGAGCTAGCTTGGTGCTTGGCAATGAGGTTTGAGGAAACTGGCAGAGTATCCCCTTTTCTGAAATAGGATTTTGGGGTCCTGGTTAGAGGGAGAAAGCAATAAAAGAAAAGAAACACAGTTTAGAGGTACACGGTATCCAGGGAAAAGAAAGCAAGGAGAAGCAGCACACAAAGAGAAGAAACCCTGGAGCTGGGGTGGAAAGGAAAGGAGGGTGGGATGAGAGATGCTGGATAACCTGTCATCCCTGATATAAACCAAGAGTTGGAGAGCGGGATGGACACTCTCTGGGGGCCATGGCAGGAGGCAGGGGCGACTTGCCAGGAAGCAAGGAGAAAGTGGACTGTGTTTCTGTGCATAGCACGTCTGTGTCCATTGGCCCAGGCTTCGCTGGCAACCCCGAGCAGTCCAGAACTGCAAGCTGTCCTGCAGCCATCCATCCTGGGGAGCAGGTTCTGACAGCACAGCCCTACGCCTGCCTCCCTGCCCTTCCCTCCCTCAGGCTTCCCCAACCTAAACAAGACAACCTGGGCAGGGGCGGGGGGCACATGCTGATGGAAAAATACACACTTGGCTGGAAAAGGAGCTTTATTTGTATGTGTAGAATTCCCGCAGCAGCCAAAGGATAAATAGCTAGGCCCAGCCTCGGCTTAAGAGTCTGCCCACAAGGTGGGTGGTAAAAATCTGTTCTTATTTAGATAGCTTGTGGGGAGAGGTGAAGAGGGGGACCGGGGGCAGTAGGAGAGGGGAACTTGGAATCTGCAATGTTTATATGATCAGTCATGGATGTCATCTCTCTTCTCTAATTAGGGGTTTGGAGTTGAGAAACTTTGCTCAGCTTGCTTGTCCTAGAAGAGGGCAGACTGGCAAGCAGGCAGTGGGCAGTGGGCAGAGCAGCTCCCTGGGGCCCACCTGTGGTTGGATCACTGCCTCCATCCCCAGCCCCCAACTGAGTACTCAGTAAATGTCAGCACTATGCCAGACCCTGTATGGGGTGCTTGACTGAGTCATTTCATTCAATCCTCACAACGGTCTCATGAGTGCAGCACCATCATCTTTCCCATTTTATAAAGGTGAAAACCAAAAAGGAGAAAGAGTAGAGCACTATGGTTACACGATCGGTAAGCAGCACGGCCAGGCCTGGAATCAGGTCTTCTTGAGTGCCTGCTTTTAGCCCTGTCCCATCCTTCCCTGGGCTGGGAAAGACCTTTTCTAATCCTTGGGCATGTCACTTCTATTCCTTAGCCCAAGTCCTCTGTACTTGCTAAAGCAGAGAAGTGGGTGGATGACTTCTAATAACTTTCAACTCTGGCATTTCTTATGATTAGAGGAAAACTCCCATCCACTATATCCCTAGTACCTGGTGTCAGACAATAGACGAACCAACCATTTCCAGATAAGCACAAGTGGGAAATTAGGGTAATTCATCAGGTAATTAGTCAAACTAATGGGCTAGAGAGTACCTGAAATTCTAGGGCTCCGTTAGATGGGAAAAGGGCTTTTGGGGGCGGCTGCCTTTGAGTGGAGACTAGCAGCGTGGGGGTGGCTGGGTGGGTGTAGTAGACAGAGGAAATGGCCTACGTGAAAACCCCAAGGCATGTTCACGACTGAAAGTGGGCCAGTGTGGCTGGAGTGGAGTGTACCGGGGAGAGGAGGTGTGATGAGGATAAAGCAAGCGGGGGCCAGATGGTTCCGGGATTTACGGGTCAGAAAAGCAGACGATGTTTGGTTTAAATGCAAAAGGCCACTTGGAGTCCCCTGAGGAAAGAAGCCAGCTCTGACTTACACTGTCACAATTATTCTTGCTGTTATAAAGAGCCTGGACTGTCAAGGGTCAAAGGTGGTGTTAAAGAACTAGAAAGGAGACTGGCTGCAGTGCACACGGGACAATGGCAACTTGAAGTAGTGTCAGAAGTGGAGGTGGGTAGAGCTGAGCAGACCTGGGTGCTTGTTCTACAGGAGGCACTTTTTGCTACAACTGTTCCTCACGTCTCTCATTTCACATCTGGATTTACCCCAGGCCAATCAGCGCTTGCCATTTCCTCAGCCACACTGATTGCTTTCAGGATGGGCCAATCACAGACACTTTTGTCTGTGGGAAGTTGAGCCCTCTGGCCGGCTGGATATGAATAAGAAAGTATAAGGAGGATGTGGTGACGCAAGCCTAAAATCCCAGCACCTGGGAGACTGAGGCAGGAGAATTGCAAGTCCAAGGCCATCCTGGGCTACACAGTGAGTTCAAGGCCAGCCCCAACAATAGTGTGAGACTGTCTCTACTCCTACCCCCACACACAAGAAAGAGAGGGAGGGAGGGAGAGAGAAGACAGGATGCTGCTGGTAGTCACCCAGAAGGGAAGGAAACTAAAGGAGCAAAAAGCCAGGAGAAAGCCGTTAGTATGGGTTGCAGATGGAAAGAGAGTATCTTGATGATATTGTTAAACCTGAGTCCACCCATCCAGCTGTTTGCTCTCCGCTTTCTATGTAGAAATTTCTTTTATTATTGCCAGCCTGAGTTGGATTTCATTCACAACCAAGAATGTCCTAATTAATATATTAGTGGTATCTAGAAACCTCAAATCTGATTGAACAGGTACAGAAGACAAGCTGCGTTACCCCTGTACAAATGGAAAAATAAAAATAAAAAAAATTAACATTTCTAGACCAATACGGCTGTCCATTTCTGTACAATGCCAACTCAACACAGTAAATTGGGATAACTTTTTCCAAAGTTGACAGCACCATTAAAGTTTCCCAAAATTCAATTTATATATATATGTATATATATATATATATCTATATAAAGATTAATAATAGCAGTATGTTATGCATCGATAGCAGCAACAGCTTTCTTCTGGACCTTTAAAAGAGAACAGTATGCGCCTGCCTCGCAAGCACAAGGTCCTTAGCTCAATTCCTGGTACCAAAAATAGAAATAAATAAATAAAATAAGAGAGACCAGTAACTGAGAAGTGAGTTCAAGAATTAACATAAGGGCTAGGAAATACAGCTCAGTGGTAATGTGCTTGCAAGGCCCTGGGTTCATCCCCAGCACAGAAAAAATAAAATTCTGTAGAAATTAGAAACTGAGAGTCAAATTTATGCCATTAGCTATTGATTAATTAGAGGAATTCATATTTCGAATCTTCTTTGCATGAGTTCAATACCACATATTATACAGCAGATCACTGCTGGAGAAGGGCACAAGGTATGCTACCCAGACAAAAGAACAGAAATGGACTACTCGGAGATGCGTTTTATGTACACGGTATCTAGCCTAGGTATAAAGTCATCACTGCAGCCCGGTGTGGTGATGCATGTGTGTAATCCCAGTACTCGGGAGGCTGAGGCAGGAGGATCACCATGAATTTGAGGCTAGCCCAGGCTACATAGTAAGTTCAAGGCCAGCCTGCACTAAACAGTGAGACCCTGTCTCAAAAAAAAAA